ATCACTGGCCACTACGGCCCTTCTGTAGGAAGTTATTTCAAAGGAAATAGAGCACTTCCTTGCCTTAGTTCTTTACATACATCAAAGAGAGGAATACGATGAAAATGACAAAATCGATTTTATGATTTGTCCACTACAATATTAGGACAGTTTTTTTCCACAGCACAGTGAGCTGGAGGCTGGCAGACACACAGGGGAAGAAGGTCACAGCTCATGTTTGGGAGCAGAAGGGAATGAGTATGTGAAAGAAATTATAGAGAGATTCAGGAGCCACACGAGTGTGTCCCTGAAAAATTCACGTGTCTTCTGGAAGCCCATGCTGTAGTAAAGGGTCACAGCACCTTGCTGGACGGCACCTGTCTCAAGGACAACGTCACTGTAGCCCTGGTCCCGTGCAAACTGAAAGACAGTTCTGACCAGTGCTTTCCCTATCCCTTGTCCTCGATGCTGTGAGGACACAGACAGGCGAAGGAGCTGTAGCTGCTTCCTTCCTAATGGGGGATCCTTGACTGGTAGACCACCCACGATGCCCACCACCTCTCCCCCAGACTCAGCCACCCAGAAGCAGGAGCCATGTGCACTCATGTAGGACTTGGGAATGTCAGCCATGTCTGTGTGCAAACATTTGGACACATACTTGTTCCAGGCATGACTGACAAGGAACCAAAAGAACAGAAGCATGAAGAAGATGCATATAACAGCCAGGAGCCAGGAGTCAGACAGCAGGACTGTGACAAGAGGCACCCCAACTAAGACCAGGAGGGTTCTGGGCAGTGTCAGCAGGTGGCGGAAGGAGGCAGGGATGTGCTCCTTCAAGCCCGTGGAGAACAAATCCACGACCTGTTCGTAGTCTCTCTCCTGGAACTGGCGGATGTGAAAAGAAGCCATTGGAGAACTTCGTCTCAAATCTCAGCATTCACAAGGCACATCCTGGTCTGGTTGCACTGCTTCCTTACAGCCCTACAGGAGCCAGAGAGAGCCACGTGAGTTTCCCCAATCTTCACTCACCACCCAGATCCCTGCCTCCAGACTCACAGGTACATATTCCCACCCAGGAGTAAGCAGAACACCAACAGTGGGAGACAGCGTTGGTTTCCAGAACATGGCACCCCTGACCCTTCAGTGCCAAGTCATGTGAACCTGGGCATGCCAACCTCTCTGAGGCTGTGTAATTCATCTATAAATCAGTGTAAAGCAACACCTGGTGTCTAGGATAATTTTGAGGACAGCCAGCTTAATACAGCACAGGCCATTACCGTCCCCTTTCCACTTCTCCAATCTTCAGTACATTGAGATGGTTCCCCATGGAAGGAAGATGTGGTGTCCCCAGCTGTGTTTCCTCTCCAGGATTTATGATTTCAGAATCCCGTGTTCCCCATGTCAGTGGTCAGCAAGTATTTCCCTAGTTAGAAATATCTCATCCACCAAGTAGCAAAGGTCAAGCCCCAGAGCTCGTTACTCTTGAACACCCAGGAAGGATCTGGGACTTAGAGTGAGAGACACCAACTTTGTCTCTCTGTCTTCTTAGCTGCTGCCACATCGGAGTGTCCAGGATGACATCCAGAACCTGCCAGGGCCTGTCCCACTCTGGGGAACAGAGCTCGGCTGGTGTCCTATTGGCAGGCTCTTGGATAATCATAAACCAGAGGTGCAAGAGCTGGAATGGGACAGAGGAGAGAGCCTGGTCCCTTCACTTTGTGATTCCCCACAAGTTTAGCACGGAGAAGCAAGCCCTGGGGTGGTCCTTACCCTTGTGGAAGTCTGCTATCTGTCTTCCTTATTTCTTCATGTTATACCATCTCTCACCCAGGATACTTGATCTTGTCTCAAGCCCAAGACACTCGTGTTAGGAGAACCATGGGACAGTGTAACTACCCGTGGGCTCACTTGGTTAGAAGTCTCATTGGCTGGCACCTGGATGTTTGATAATCATAAACCCGGGGTGAAGAAGCTGGGTTATGACAAGGCAGGAGCCAAAGTCCAGCTAATTCTGTGATTCCCACTGGATTAACCTGGAAGGGAAGGGGGAATCTAGGATGACTCAGGGTTTCTCACCCTCATGGTCAGCTGACACCCATCTCCTTTTCCCTTTCAGCCTATATCCTTTGTCCTGTCTCACTTGTCCTCACTGATGCCATCTTGGTCTCCACATGTACCTCTTAGGAGGAACTAGAAACTGAACCATTTATTTTAACTTCACTTGTAACAAGCAAGTATCCAGATCTAAGGGCTCAGGAACAAGAGCCTCATTACTGAGTGTCTCTCACCAAGACCTGCCTACTCCTTGACAAAGGGTCTGGGTGGTCCTCACTGACCTTCTGTCCCTTTGTTACCAACAGGCTCTCACTCAATCATCCATCATTTTAGACCCAGCAGGGTGGCATGCTGTGGGACAATGATCTTTTTCCCCGTAGAGATTTGTCACTTGTATTGGTTTAATAAAATGCTGATTTGTCATCAGTTAGGCAGGAATTATAGGTGGGGCGACAAGAATAGGAGAATCCTGGGAAGAGGACAGGCTCAGTCTGCAGTCATCACCCAGGCCAAGAGGAAGCAAGATGAGAATGCCTCACTGATGAAAGGTACCAAGCCACATGGTTAATACAGACAAGAATTTTGGGTTAATGTAAGATGTAAGAGTTAATTAATGAGAAAGTCTGAGCTACTAAGCCAACCAGTCTATAATTAATGTAGACCTTTGTGTGCTTCTTTGGGACCGAACAACTGTGGGACTGGGCGGGACAGAATCTTCTATCACGGTTGCATAAACTCTAGGGATTGCTCAGAGTTGAAGCATTGCACACCATCCCCACCCATGCTGGCACACAATCCAGTTTCAAATGTGGACTGTATAGAGATGGTGTACAGGTAATGATTTCAGATATTTAATGTGAGAGTTAAAAAGTTCCAACAACAGGGGGCTATTCTCATTCAAACCATCACATTTGGTGAATTTTTGTTTTGTCTTAAAGGAAATTAAGATTCATTTGGAAAAAAACAACAACCAGAAAACGAGGTCAGGCTGAAGGACAGGAACTTGTGTGCTTTCCCTGCCCTCTGTGTCTCTAAGTGTGCAGTGTTCACTGAGGGTTTCTTACTGTGTTAACGGGGTTTCTCAAAACCCAGTAGTCTAACTCCCAGGTGACGTGAATGTGTGTTGGACTGTGGACTCTTCTGCTGTTCTGAGTGCAGGGTGAGCCTCCTTCCACCAATGCTCTACTGACACAAAGCTGTAGCCTCCTAGCTTCCCTCTGATTCAGCTTTCCAGGGTCTGTTACGTTTAGCTGCTCAGTTCAAGTTCACTTGTATTTTTCGAGGACAGGAAGTGTGGATCTACCATTCAGAGCCAGTTCCTTGTCATCTTAAAAAGGTTCAGTCCCAGGGACACCAGGTTGATGGAGAGTCAAGCCACTGCCATTCCAGGTAGTTGGTACTCCAAAGGTATTGATGACTTCTAGATACGGGATTACTAGTGACTCTCAGAGATGTTTATGGTGGCAAGAGCATATCTACTCCACATGGGTGGAGCTCCTCAGGGAGGACAAGGACAAAAGCAGCCCAATGGATAAGGGGTGGGACCACCAAGACCCCAAGAGACCTACCATCATAATTCAAGGTTGTTCATACCTGAAACAGCACGGACCACTACCTGTCCAATAACCTAAGCACTGCAAGAGATAAAGGACTCCTGGGAACTCAGGAAACCTACATAGAGATGTAGATGTATGATATACTGGAACCCCAAAAGAACAAGAGAATGCAATGCATTAAAGGATGCAAACACCCTGATAGGGATGAAGGGCCTCTGTGTATGCAGGAGTGGGGTGGGAGTCATGGGTGGGTGTTGCGCATCGCCTGCTCTAAGCACCACAGTACTTACTGTTCGAGAGCCAGGTAAGGACCGGGAGATTGAAACACACACACAGAGACACGGGTAACACCGAGAATGCCCTTTTATTGTGTTCCAGGGCAGCTTATATAGGGTCTCCTTGACTAATGTCCACGCCTTAACTCTCAGCTGCCAGCCCACCAGAAACCACTCCCCTGCCATCAGGAACTCCTGAAGGTCTGGTGCCCAGAGCAGCTGCAAGCATAGGAAAGCAAGCTGCTTACTCCGGCAGGCGGGGGGTCACAGGAAATTCAGGGTCTGGGAGTTCACAGTCCCCAACACGTGGACTCTAGCTACTGTGAGGGTGCGCAGAAGACCCTTACAGTGGAGACAGAAACTGTATAATGTAGGTTAGGAGGGCTGGAGAGATGGCTCAGTGGTTAAGATGTTGACTCCTTTGGCCTCCCTGGGGGCTTTATTCACATGACACACAGACATACATACAGGCAAAGCACCCACATGCATAAAATAATATATTTATTTATAAAGTAAATTTTTAAGGATGATGAGGCTCCAGAGCTTGTGTTTTGAGGGTTCCGTCCTCTTCCTATCCAGTTCAGCTGAGTATGGGATGGACAGTTACTAGAATTCTAATTTTATCTCGACTTCCACAGTTACCTTGCTGGTAGATTATGATGCTAAGACAGGTCCTGGAGCTAGAGGCAAAGAGGTCTCTGTCTCCCCTTCTGGCCTGCAGTAAGCATCCCACCCATGATCCCTAGCATCCCTTCCTCACTCTTACCATGCGACCACCCTGTTCCAAGTTCAAACTGACAGCAGTGTCCACAGTAAGAAGCTGTGGGAAGGTCTAGATTAGGAGGGCCCTCCCCCGCTCTCATGGTATTAGAATGACAAGTAGAGGCTAGTCTCCAAACACAAGTCTAGTGCAGTGGGGACTCGCAGAGCATTGTAATGGTGTGTGTGTGTGTGTGTGTGTGTGTGTGTGTGTGTTATGGCACACACTGCCTGCTTTCCAATGGCTGCTGGTAGTTGGAGGAAGACTACATAACATTCTTACATAACCTTCCTTGGCAACAGATATGGAAATTGAGATGGATCAAGGGTCAGCATCCAGAACAGTACCACACCTACAGTGAACTGGGCAGAGGCAGTACCAGATTATGGTGATCTTTTGGCAAGATATGGCTCTAGTTGGGTCTCTGCTGCATATTACTAGCTTGGGGACACATATCTCTTCTATGCAACCAACCAGCTTTCTTTGCTGAAGCTTCCATCTGGTGAGGAATTGACTGAAGTGTGTCTGGCTAGATTGGGACAACTCACACAGAGGTTCTGGGGTTTACCAGCCCGTCTGTGTCTTTGGAGTTCAGTGGCGTAGAGGACATTCACAGTGGTGGGCTGTGGCTTTAGTGCCTGTTCTGCCTTAGTCCCTTCAGTCTGGCCCTTGGTCTCAGTTCCTAGAGTGGAAGATTCCAGACAAACTCCATCCAGGACTGGGACAGCATCCATCTGGAAGAAGCTAGCTGGACAGGCTTCCCTGCCTCATAGGAGCTGAGAAATTCTTTCTGGTCATTGTTTCTAATGCTCTGGAGTTGAAGTCAAGTGTGCATTGGGGAGAACAGAAGTCCCACATAACCACCCCTGGGGAGTTTGGAACATCCAAGCATAGCAGAGAGAGTACAAAGGTCTTGTACTTTCTTACTGCTCAGAGCAGTTGCACCTGCCCTCCACCCCACTCTGCTGAGTGCTCAAGTTCACAGTTCATATCTTCAGGTTGTCACGGACTCACCCAACCCTAACCAGGTTCCACATCTCTAGTAAAGTTGTTATGTCAAATTTTGAGTTTCATTTTTTATGTCAATCTTTGAGATCTGTGATACTAAAAAGGCTAACTCCCTTTGATCTTTTACTGATTTGGACCCCCAAATAGGTTTTCCTTTTCCTTTTTGTTTTTGTTTGTTTGTTTTGCTTCTTGGATTTGTGGAACAGCTGTGTGTTCAAGCAGCTAAAGAGACTGTACTCTGAGCATGTGCCCTTCTGAGAAATCCTATTTGATTTCCTGCTTTATAGTTTGGTGGTAGGACCTAAGTGGCCCATGCCTCAGGCTCCACACAGCCAAAGGGAATGTTGAGGGTGGACCTTTGAGTTGGAGGAGATGCTACACTGGAACCCATCAGGGGTCAGATCCTAGTTCCACCTCTGGGGAACATCTTCTTCAGTTCTTGGTCTCCTTTCCTATATATGCAGTTGGGGAAGCAGCACCCCACCCCAATCCCGGCTCCAGGTTCTCTTTCCCAATCCCCAAGAACACTGCACACACGGGTTTGGTCTCTTTGATTTTTTAAAGTCTTATTGTGACTTTCAACCTATTTAAATGCCCCTATTTCTTGGTGAAATCTATTTAACATAAAGTTAGCCTTTTACACTGTGAAAATTTGCAGCGTTTGGCTGCTGACAACGTTTTGGTGGCAGATATTTCTCAAATGCTAAATGTTCCCAGGACAGGTCTCAGCCTGTGTTCTGACAGCTGTGGCTCCTTGGTTCCTGTCTCTGTAAACCTGGGATAACCTGGGCTACCCCCAAGCTCTTAGCATAGGCGGGTCTGGATCTACAGGTTTTGTCTCAGCTCTCTGGGTACAATTACTACTTACCACAGTCTGAGGTACCGTGGAACCTTCCTGCTGCTCTTAGCCCACCATGTGATCCAACAACAGTCTCCCCGTGCAGCCAGAGCTGCGCAGCACGGGCTCCTTCTGTCTGCTCTTCAGCTGGCCATACTGGACTGTAATTTGGTCACAGACCTCTGCAGAATGCTCCACCCCTACAAGAACCTGGAAACTGATCTCATGTTTCCAGAAAAAACTCGAATCATGTTACTTGCCTTGGGCACTGGAGATACTTTGGATCCACTTCTGGGCTGAACAGACTTTAGGCAATTATAGCAGGTGGCTGGGCACTCAGGAACACAGGGCTAAATCTCCGTGATCGCCACGATGCAAGTTTGTATCTGGATTCAAGAGCTGACGATTCTCCTCCTCTGGCCTTGAAGAGTCCGTGCGCCAGAGAGGCAGTCTGCACACTCGCCCTGCTCTAGGGACTATGAAGCTAGTTCCTTGTCCTCTGAAGTTCCCAGAGAACTTCACTGAGGAGGAAGGGAAAGTC